CGAGTCCTCTTCAGTATTTTACGATTTTCTCCCTCAAAACTCAACTTTTTCGAGCTAAAAAGGTGATATTCGTGATCAGCTCGATTCGGCCAATCAGAATATGTATAATAAAGCCAAAAATTAAAACATGCTCGATCTTTGAATTAGCGGCGCCTTACTTCATGAGTTAGCTCACGCAGTTGTACCGCCAAAGTCTAGTACTCCAATTCGTAATGCATTTGCCTGTTATCACATTCAAAATTATTATGGTGGTGGTTGTTTTTTAGAGCACATATGTTGTAGCGGTGAAGTGCATCTACATAAGAATGATCGGAAGATGTATATATTAACACCATTTGCGTCGAAAAAATTTGTCAGTGATGTGTTATTACAATCTGTTAATAATTCCAAATCATTTCATTTATTAAATGAATATGCCAACAAATGTGCTGGTCAACAAATACATTTAGCAAAATTAGATATACCTGTAATCACAGCAGACGATGAAATGATAGAACCAGCAGGAGATTACAGACATGAAATTATTGTAGTTAAAAATATTGAAAATCAAATAATTGAACCACTTGGCGAATACGGAAGAGTTCGATAACAAGTTAATCGTTTATACGTTCAATAATTGAAACTTTCATTTGTGACTGTATATATATATCATTCGGTGTTTGTGTTTGTTAATGTATATGTAATAAGAAAATGTTGTTTCTATCGTCAGATACCTAAAAGAAAATTTAGCTTTAACAAGCCTTGTGACAATTCCAAATCTAACTACCATGTGAAGAGATTCCTTCCTGCTGAGTTGAGTTGGTATTAAGGGAAATGATTTCGTGAGAAATGGTTTAATATATTTTACGGCGGATAATAAGCAAAAACAGTTGAGCAAAGTGTATTTTTTAATTTCCGAGACGACTAACCAAGCTGCCTGACAGTGGATGATGGAAGTGGGTAGGTCTACTGAGAGAATGATACAGTTTAGTTTCCTTAGCATCTATTTTTTGCCGAAGACTCGTGTCGTATTAGTGAAAGAGTCCGTCAAGCTCTTACGAGGAAAACTAATTAAAAAATGAGTTTTGAAGATGTTTAAAAACCCATTCAGTTTTAATAACTAATTTACAAGAGCATTTAGTTTAAACATTTTATTATTAGAAAATTAGAAAAAGGCACATCGGCTAACAATTTTTGTGCCATAATAACATTTAACTTGTGGTGTATAAAAATAAAAAGCAATAATACATATAGTCAAAATATAGAGAAGATGTAGCTTATTCCGTTCCAGTACAGATTGTTTAGTACATGAGTATGTATTCAGTATGTAGATTCTGTTTGAAAAAATAATGTTCGTTTTGTTACGGTTTTTAAATATTAGCTTTTATTTGCTAACGAAGTGATAGGATTCTGCTATCTTTGTCTTTTACTCTATACTGCATTTTTTTTTAAGTCAGCGAGATATACCTGCACATGATAGCCAGCGATAGATATAATTCTCTTCTTCCCATACCATAGACTACATATCATAAATCGATCTAGCAACAGTCGAAGATTTAACTTTAAATTCTGATTTTAACAATACTGCTATTGTTTGTGGCTTCTCTCAAGCTCTCAGTTCGCCGCATTTCGCTACAATAGTTAATACAATTTCTAGTCTCGACATCATCATAAGAGGTCAATAGTGCCATAGCGTACATATTGTAATATACATATTGTCCTGGCTACTAAATGTCCCTGACAACCACTTTCTAGTATAAGTACGCTGCCGTCGAAGACTTCACTCCAAACTAATACTATATCCTGAAACTCTAAAGAACCGTCGACTCAGTTTAAACATAAAAGCTGTTAACGCAACTATCTTTCCTCCACAATCTCAATCTGTGTCTCTCTCTCTGTAGCAGCCTTTTTCACATGAATTTGTTGTACCTTTTTTGCAGGTCAACCAGGATCACAAGCAAGTGCAACCACTTCAAGTAACTAAATTTCTTCTATTGTATTCTAATCAGATCCGAAAATGACCTTGGAACATACGTGTGCGAATAGTCTACAACAGTAAAGAACAGTATTAAAAGACCTCGCTCTGCTCCTGTGATGGTAGCATCGGAGCATACATACACGAACAGGTTCTCGTTGACACTGTGCCCTCGTCTGAAAAACGTTTTAATCGACGTTTCCTTCGTCTGACTTTCACGCTTTGTCGAATGAGACAGGTCGCTCCCTTCGTAGAGAAAGTCAATATAATGTTCATTGATATTGCATGAATCAACTATACGACAATTTATTATAAAACAAAGTGAACTAAGGCCACGTTCACACTACAAATTTTTCAGAGTTAACTCCGAGTTAACTCGAAGTTAACTTCGAGAGCGTTCACACCTAAATCTTTAACACACCAATAAGATTTTGATATTTCCCCTAAAATT